TTTGGCAAATTTCCAAACGCTCGAAGCCCATTCTTTGCATGAAAAGCTTGGTTTGCTAGATTCGTTCTTAGTTTCTTGCTGTTTAGAAGGGATATTAATCTCAATATTACCCTTTTTCCCACTCATTTTCCAATGATGAATTCTCGTTGAATCAAGTAATGGAATCCTTTAAAAGATTATATATGTCGTGTGTAAGGCTCTCTTGCTTATAGTGTGTGGTTCGGTTTGGAACGTAGTGAGACAGTTTGGTTTGTGGATACAGTTGTTGCTAAAGGGAGAATTTGGAGGAGCCAACTCTAGAATGAGACGAGAATAGCAGCGTTTTGGTAGCTAAGTTGGTATGGAAGAATTCCTATGGGAGGGTCGAGTCTTCTGAAAGGGAAACAAGGGATTTCAAGAATGTTATGTGGCAAAGAAATTAAGAGAAGGTGCAAGGGATTTAAAGAAGAGGATTTGGCTAAGAGGTTTATGCAATTGTGAGAAGAAACAATGTCTAATTAAGAGGATATAAATGGAGAAAAAAGAATAAATAATGGCAATAATGGAAGAAAAGATGGAGTAAAACTTTAATAACGTTGAATGGATACAGAATTGGAATCTATAAGAAAATGAAATCGAACCTTCGATTACTGTATTGCTGTTCAAAATATTTGCTTCGTGTCTCTATAATCTTAGTTTGTCAAACATTCGCGGTACGATCGATCATTTTTTCAAAATTGCATAAGCCCAATCCTTAACCGGCATGCACGCTCTAAAGTTGCTAATGATCATACAATATATAATCAGGACTTAAGAGGGATAATAAAAACAAGAAAGTCAGTATTGAACTGATACATAGTATACATCCCACTTCTTTAAAAGTCTAATTCTTGTGTTGTTATTGTATCTCTAGAGGTTGCTCCTGTTCGATGGGGGATTAAAATCAGATTTTTAATAGATTTTGATAAAAGTTGATATAATGTATGATCGAAAAGTTGTGACTCTCATAAAATATTTGGTTAAAATTAAATGTTAAATTTGATTAGATTAAAATCTATATTTTAATTCATATCAAACATGGGGCTAAGAACCGTTGAACCTACATATACATTGTATACATTCATTTCCAATAAATGAATATATTAAGGGGAGCATTCAATTTGGACTTTTAAAAATTTTTATATATATTTTTTAAAGTTATGGACTTTTGTGAAATTTGTGAACATTTATAAATTTGTATAGAATTAATAAAAGTCTTTTATAGACTTTCATTTTAAACGTGAATAGAATTTCTAACACTGAGAGTGTATTCAATTTGGACTTTTATAGACATTTTTTAAGATATAGACTTTTGTGAAGTTTATGAACTTTTATAGACAAATTAATAAAAATCTTTCATAGAATTCTCAAGATTTTCAAAAACTTTTATTTAAGATAGAATTTACACGTGTTAGGCGCAACATTAAGAAGTTCTCAAATGGGAGGTAAATATTTGATCCTCACTATTCTCTTCCGGCTCTTCATGCAATAAAAAATATTTTTGAAATAATAAAAAAATTAAGTTATTTTAATTAATTAAATAAACAAATAAATAATCAAAATAAAAAAGATATATAATATTTATGTATTCTATGATAAAAGAAAAAATATTTAAGGTTTAGTATTATCAATATATATTACTTTTAAAAAGTAAAGAATCAATCAATATATTTGAAATTTAATTATAAATGAGTTTTTTTTATAAAAAATTATAAAATTTAATTAAAATCTTATCTTTTTCGCAAAAAAAAAAAAAAAAAAAGATAAAAAAAAAATTAAAA